TGACCGAAAACCGTCTCGAAAACCCGATTTCTTCAGATTCAACCCGATATGACAGATTGGGTGTGGATCTTCGTGGTTGGATTAGTAAATATGAAACTTTAGTAAGGACCTGCAATTATTTGACCGCTTTTTTCCCCTTTTCTTGCTTTAAAATAAATCGAAAACAAATTAAATATTATGAGGAAGAGATTTGAGAATTTTTATAATGCGGAAGGAGTACGGGAGATTATTCCTCTTATGATGATGTTTTTTAAAAAAGAGTTTCATGTTATTTTACTTGTCTCTAGTGAGTTATTGCTTAATGTCACTAGTAAAAAGAAGCCATTTTAGGAAGTCTACAGGACAGAAGATGTATTGCTTTTTTTTTTCTCTTTAATTTCTTGTTTCGAAGACTTCTGTTACATCGTCTATGATAATAAGAATGTTGGTTTGAAATTTGATAAATACATTTGATACTCAGCGTATGAAGAAGGACGGTTGCTCATGATTTTGTGGCATTGCCCTATCAAGAGTAAAAGTAAAAATATGAGCCTTCAGTAGAAAAAAACAAGTTTAGCAGCTAAGCAAAAAATGAAAGATCAGGTAAATAAAAACTTTATTTTACCTTTCTTCGTCTTTTTCTTATTTCTTATGCACAAGTCTTAAAACTGCAAACAACTAAGGTTCTTCATGCAAATTCTATAGCCAACGATCAGTGAAGAGTCAAGTAATTTCCTTACTCTATTCTCATGTCTAATTGTCTATTGCTTAACCCATAGTAAGCTGGTCTTATGGTCTAAGTGTTCACATTCCCTAGAAACTAGAAAACACACATAACAGTTAAGCACAACAAAAAGCACGAAAAACAGAGCAAACACTCAAATAGAAATCACAACGCAAAAGACGACGAAAACCAAAAAAAAAAAAAATCTCAAGCATACCCTCAAACACAATCACACAACAAAAGTCAAACACAACATCATTAACGAATAAATATTAAAAAGAAAATGTTAGCATCGATTCTCTCCTAAAAATATACAAAGACAACCTTGTGTCAAGTCTTAAAAAAAGGTCAACAAAAGGTATTTCTGCAGGATTGCAAAATTCCATTTTTCACTACAACCACTACTAAATTGTGTTTTTCAGCCAAAACTACAAATTGTGTTTTCTAGCCAAAACTGCAAAATTGTGTTTTTCTGCCAAAATCATGTTTTCTAGCTAAAATTATAAAATTATGTTTTCTTGCTAAATTCGTAAATTTATGTTTTTCCTTCTAAATCGCAAATCCATGTTTTCTGCTATAAGAAACGGTTTCTCAACAAAATCTCAACGATAATTTGCATTTCTCGCCAAAATATTCATTGATAAAAACTTCGATTTCACACTTTGGATCAAAGACTTTCAAATTCAAGTTCTCTAGTCGAAAAGGTTTCATTTGTAGCTAATTGTTTTTTATTTTTAGATGAAAATCCATTGACTTTGACTTTCATAATCCTTTTCACTTCTACGCCTCCAAAGAAACCCATGTGGCCAAGTTGGCTTTGAAAACAAATTGTTTGAATCATATTAATTTTGTTACACTTGTAATGTTATCTGTGTACTATACCACATATAATGTAATCAATGTATTTTATACAAGAACATTCTGGTGTCGAAATATTGGATTTCAAAACTGTTGCCAGTATTTTATCCCAAAAAAAACTGTTGCCCGTACATAAATTTACAATAAGACTACCACGTTATGGTCTTTGTATAGTTGCCAGTACATAAATTTATAATAATACTACCAAGTTATAGTCTTTCTATATTGCAATATATTAAGATGCTGAAATTTAAAGTAATACTAATAATATTAATACTAGAAATTAACACTGAGGGGTAGTATTTTTTTTTAATATTTAAAATTTTAATTTTAAAATTTTTGTTAAAATTGGTTGACATGTAATAATTACGTATATATAAATGTTACACAGCTAATATTTACATATATATATTCAAGTTGGTTAAACGTCACATTAATGAAATTATTTCATCATTGCATGATTTAATTTTAATTTTTAAATATAAAAATGATATGATATAATATATACATATCTATCAACATGAATTAAAATCTAAATAAGTATATTAGTAAGAAATTTGATTGTGCGTGTTTTTATTTGAGATCAGGTTATCATTTTCATTTACTGAATATTTATAATATGTCTTACTAAGAATTATATATAGATTATCAAAACTGACTAACCCATGTACTTATCTGTTTTATAATAAAGTAAAATGTTTTTAGACCGATCTGCAAAGAACTACAGTTTTGAATTTTGAAAACATATTTTAGTTTATTTATTTAAATATAACTGAATTTATTTTCATATATAATACAAACTAGTTATACAAATCCAAATGAAAAATATTACAGAATTTTTAGTAGATTTTTTTTGAATAGATATGGATTGATTATTATTTAAAATAATATAATATATTTTAATATCTTAATAAATAAAGAAACTAAATACACTTCTATTCATATTCTCTTCAATAATTTCAAAAAGACATTTTTTACATTTTTATTCTAATTTATATTTTTTTATTTGGAATGGCATTTCATATAATATATTACAAAACAATGTTCATTTTTTTTAAATAACTACTTAAATAATAGTATAGAGATTACGAACCCTAGTGGCCTTCAAAAAAGCTTTATATAAGAACACAAAAGAACACAAAGAGAGAGTTCTAAAACAGAACAAGTTTCTAAAAGGGAAAAAATGGTGGTTTGGAAACAAGTCTTGCTCTTCAGCTCTTGATCATCGATTTCACAAGTCCAAACCTATAGCTGGGAATTGTTGATTGATACAGAGAATCCTCGCTTGTTCAAGCCATTTGATTTGGAAGCATGCTTATTTTCAGTTCACCACTGAGGAATCTGGAAGGAGAGATCTAGCTGCTCTCAGAACTTACTGTGGCCTTTAAAAGCATATAAGAGCATGTACTTTCATCCCTTAACAATTTTTAGGTGGGTTGCATACTAATATTTTGGGTTAAAATATTAAAAAGGGAGCCCAAAAGAATAAGGGTCGATCCATCGCTAAGGGTTTTAAGGGCCGACCCATACAGAATCCCTTAAGCGACGTATCACATTTTTATTGGGCGGACGAAAAAATTATCGGTTTCTCGCGTGTGGGTCAAAAATTATTCGTCACTTGACATTTTCTGAGAAAAAAAAAACCCGAGAGCTCTCTCCCATGGCGATTTCAAAGGCGAGTGCATGCGATTTCTTGTCGGAGCAAATCGAAGGCGATTTCGACTGTTTTCCGGCGGATTGGGTCCTCGAATCGTGATGGTTAGTCGTTTTTGAGGGATTTGTTGTATTTTATGTGTATTTGTTCTGTTTTCTTCGAAATTAGGGTTTTGAATCGGGGAAAAAATTTGGAGGTTCTTTGTGTTCAATGAAATTTGGCTAATCTCTGTGAATAATACTCGTGAATAGAGTTGTTTGAAAGCGTTTACATGAAGATATAGACTGTATTTTGTGTATTGAGGTATATGATCGGTTCTTTGTAATCGGTGAAGTAATTTTGAGTTGTAATTCTTTTGTTAGTGATGTTTATGATCGGTTGGTGATGTATATGATAGGTTTTGTTTAGTGTATGCATATATATCATGTTATTTTGATGATGAAGTTAAAGTTGAAGTATATGATCGGTTGTTTGTAATCGGTTAAGATAATTTTGAGTTGTAATTCTTTTGTTAGTGATGTTTATGATTGGTTGGTGCTGTATATGATAGGTTTTGATTAGTGTATGCATATATATCATGATATTTTGATGATGAAGTTAAAGTTGATGATGAAAATGTTGTTGTGAATTTTTTGGCGACGGTAAATGGAGAGAGAGCACAAGGGATTCTTGATGATGATGTTACTTCCTTCTAAACTCAGCCCAAGGTAAGTCTTCTTCAAACCAACAATGTATCTTCTCGGGTCTTCATTTTCAAACCGAGACATGTGATGTTTGGGTCATATTGTTTGCAGCCATGGAAGTCTGTCCAAGGTCCAATGATCGAAGCAAGCATCCAAACAGCTGTCATTCCTTAAAAGGTTAGTTTCATTCTAAACTTGTAGTTAGCATATTGTTTAGGGTTGATAGTTGCTTTCTTTGTATATGATCGCTTAGTTAGGATTGATTGTAAATGGTGGTAGTTGTTTGTTAGGTGAAGAGTTATGGTTTAGTTGAAAATATATGGAACAAGTTTGGCAATTCTCAAAGGTAGAACTAAAGGTTTTACAATTTAAATATCTGTATTTTGAATTTTTAAAATTTCATGTACTGTTCTATAATCTTGTTTATATGTAATGAATGTTTAAATTAAAAATTAAGTTAATAAATTTTTTAAAAAATATATTAGATTTTTTATTATTAAGCAACTCTTACCGAATCCACTAATGAAACACTTAATGATAAGAGTTGCTTAATTATCCTTAAAGCAAAAAAAAGTATTATAATAATCTTAAGCAACTTTCTCTAAACCCCTCTAATGTACATGCTCTAAGATGATGTATTCCTTCCAAAATAACAAGAATTTTTTTTTTATTTAGTGTTTCTAACTTTCCAGATAAACCCATCTCTATCAGAATAATAAAGATATATCTTTATTATCAAAATTAAGTTTAAGATCACTTATAATATAATGTTCATACCAATTTTGTCTTCCATTGCCAATTGGAAGAAGAAATTTTGTTTGCATTTCCTGTTCGAATCTATAACGTAAAACATAATTGATAGAAATGGAGAGTTTTACTTTCTAATAGCACTTTTACAACCACCAAATAATTTTAGTTTTATTATAGACTTCTACACTCCGTAAACGTGATGAAGCCATTAAACTTTATACAAAATGGATTGGTAGTAGTTAATGACTGTTAGTTGTAATTTTAAAATGTCTAGCGTGACAAGTGTATGTGCATAAATGGAAATACCAACTCTCCTCCTTATCCTCAAAGAGTCAACACAGAGAAGAGAGAGATGGATCACCAAACTCTGCAGGAAGCTTCGACCATCAATGTTTCATCCCTTACTTGCATAGATCTCGCCAACTCTGATCTTCATCAATCAGCTGCTTTGCTTAAACAGGTTTGTCTCTAGTTTATTTTATATTTTCTAAAAGATGATTACAGTATGACAAATGACCATTGATTATAGCTCATGTTTTGGACCCAAAAAAAAATTATAGCTCATGTTAAAACATTGACTTGTTGTGGGTTATTCTTGTTCAAGGCATGTATGGATTGTGGATATTTCTATGTCATAAATCATGGTGTAAGTGAGGACTTGAAGCACGAGGCTTTCCATCAGAGCAAGAAATTCTTTGCTCTTCCATTGGAGGATAAGATGAAAGTCTTGAGCAACGAAATGCATCGAGGGTATTCACCAGCCTTTGAGCAGAATCAAATTCACGGTTCGTGTGTTTACTTGCTTAATCAAAAAGTGTTGTTCATGAGGTATCTCATTCTTGAAGTTAACATAATTAATTTTAGGTGATCACAACAAAGAGAGTTTCTTCATGGGAACTGAAAGTACCAAAGATGATTCCCATGGGGATAATCCATTCTATAGACCCAACACTTGGCCTGACTCTGGTTAGTTTGTGCTGTGTTCTAGTAAACTGTTTTGTCAAAATTCTTTTTATCTTTGAATATACTTTGATATTTTTGGTAGATGTTTTGCCGGGATGGCGGACGACCATGGAGAATTATCACCAAGAAGCATTGTAAGAGTCTCATGTTTGTTTTCCGTACCAATAATGACTTTAAGCCTTTGACGCAAGATCTAGATTTCTTGACTTTATAAAACCAAATTAAATTTATGGAAATATATTTTAAAGTCAATTAACAATGAATATAATTGGTGTACAATATTACAAAAAATAAATTTTCTAAGAAACTCCTAACACAGAAAGTGTGAATAGTATATATATATATGATATGATGAACCCTTTCTGCAATGGTTAGGAGGGTTTGCATGGTTATTGCGAGAATACTGGCACTGGCGCTCGACTTGGATGCAGATTACTTTGATACGCTGGAGAGGCTTGGAAATCCCATCGCATATATGAGGTTGCTTCACTATGAAGGTGATGCATTTTCTTGATTTCATAAGCTTTGTTTGTCAATGCTATATACTCACCCTCCGGCTCCAATAATCTTCTTCCTTATTAGGAATTTCTGATCCCTCTCGAGGAATATATGGATGTGGAGCACATACTGATCACGGAATGATGACTCTCATAGCAACCGATGGTGTAATGGGGCTCCAGGTACTAGTTTACGCTAGTCATACAATTTTTAATGTGACCGGGTTACAAAAATGTTGTCAAAGTGACTGAATAATATGAGTGATTTCGAAAGGATCTGACTAGAATTAGTATAGGAATTAATGCAGCGAGCTGTAGACTAGAAGAAAGATGACGAATTAGGGTTAGGAATGGTACGGTCCAATTATGAAAATGAAAATTTTATGTTTATGTTTTACCTAATAGTATCAAAATTTTTTGGAACTTATATAAAGAATCTAAAAGCTTGTTAAAATTATAGACAAAAAGGTATACACTTCAATTTTAAGTTGATCGTTTTTCATCGAAATTTATAACACGAAATATGCTAATATATAATGGCAGATATGCAAGGATAAGGACGTGAAGCCTCAGAAGTGGGAATATGTACCATCGATTAGTGGGTATAATGACAATTGTTAGGTTTTGGGTTCATGATCCATTTAAAATAGTACACTAGCTCCCATAAATAAATAAAAATATATGACTTTTTTTTTTTACTTTTCTACAGAGCATATATCGGGAATCTTGGTGACGTGATGGAGCGTTGGAGCAACGGCCTTTTTAAGTAAGTTTCTTTTGTTTTATTGCATTGTAAAATTTTCGAGCTCACATTTTTCTCGAACATTTTTCTGATTCTCACATAAGTTTATGATATACAGATCCACATTGCATAGGGTACTTGGGAATGGTCAGGATCGATACTCCGTAAGTATCTTAGTAATACCCATTCACGTCCACTTTTACATTTTTTCGACATGACCACTTTTCTATGTAATTATGGTGGAACGATTTTTAGCCATATGCTCTATGTCGTTGTTATTAATTCTTAACAATCAATGACTGTTGAACATATTCATAACTGAAGAAGGAAAACACTGAAAACTTATCTAACGCATGTGTTCTCATCGCAGATTCCATTCTTCTTGAGTCCGAGTCACCACTGTCTAGTAGAATGTCTTCCTACGTGCCAGTCCGAAAACAATCTTCCCAAGTAAGGCTTGAACCCCTTTACCTTGTTACATTAAGACTTTTGACCAAAAATAGTGTAAGACAGTTTTATGATTGTGTTGAATGAATAGATATCCGGCGATTAAATGCTCAACGTACCTGACCCAACGTTACAAGGAATCACATGTGGATTTAAGCAAATCTACGGAAAACAGACCTAGATGAAGTTTATGGTTAAACATCTTTTCCACAGTAAATGCGTTGGTTTTCTCGTTGGATTAATTGTCTTTCCTCGTTGTTAAAAGTACTGTGTGTTTGGCTTGCTTACCAAGGTTTATATTAAATAAATGGGGACCTGTGGGTTAATAAAGAACATCAGTGATCACTGAAGAGATTTACTTTATTTGGGACATTTTACTTTTATCTCATTCTATAGTGGATAGTGGCCGGGCTTTCTTCCTTGGCCTTACACCAAAAAAAAAAAAAACTCACAATTTACCTTTATACACTTACTCATAATTAGAACTTAGCAAGATTGAAAATTGGATGAGAAAGACAACCAACATAAAATTCAAAAAGACAATAAGAGTTATTATCCCTCAGCGGAAAGAAAGGATAGAAGTCAGTTTCGGTCCACCAACTAAAATAGAACATTATTTAAGCTATAATCAATACTTCTTAATAAATATAAAATGTTAGATGCAAGACATCAATCAGAGAATTATAAAAAATACTCGATCGACTCAAGAACTACAGCCAGATTACTAAAAAAAGACGACTAAAAACATGTTCACTCCCAAATTACCAAAATAAATTTGATTGTTGGGGTATCTCAATCTCGTTGTAACCTAATGGACTTTAGGGGATTACCAAGAGAGTTTCTTCTTTGGAACCGAACGTCCCAAAGATGATCCCCTTGCAAGTCATATAAATTTTCATGTAGTCGAAGTTTACTTATAAGGATATCTGTCAAAATAATTTATTCATCAACCTAAAGACGCGCACACATATACATATATATATATATATATATTAGTCAATTTTGAGTTAAATTAACAATATGGGAAAAATTACTGTAATAATTCTAATAACTAATTATACAAGGCCCAATAAACCTTATATCTCTTAATAACTTCCCCCCTCAAATTGGAGCATGGAGATCTTAAATGTCCAACTTGCACAAAATTCTTTTGAATAGACGTCTTCCAAGTGCTTTACTGAAAATATCCGCCAGCTGTTGAGTAGTAGAAACATGTTGGGTCTGAACAATTCCAGCCTGTATATCGTCTCGAATGAAATGACAATCAATCTCCACATGCTTCGTTCTCTCATGAAATACATGATTAGCTGCAATATGAAGCGCAGACTGGCTATCACAATATAAATCCATTGGACCAGAATGTGCAATACCTATCGTTAACAACACACTCTTTATCCACTTCAACTCCTTTAATGCTAAAACCATAGCTCGATACTCTGCTTCAGTTGAAGAGCATGAAACAACATCTTGCTTCTTTGACTTCCATGACACAGGAGAATTTCCCAACTGTATCAACCATCCACTCAAAGATCTCCTCGTGATTGGAAATCCAGCCCATTCTGAATCACACCAAACTGTAAGATGAAAATTACAATCAGATTTTAACAAAATTCTCATTCCCGGGCACCCTTTCAAGTAACGAAAAATTCTCATTGTAGCCATTCAATGATCCTCTCTTGGCTCATTCATAAATTGAGATAAGATGTGAACTGAGTAGGCAAGATCAGGTCTAGTCGCAGCAAGTAAATCAACCTTTCAACCAGTCTCCAATACTTCTCTGGATCGTCGACCTTCCCAACTGATGATTTTTCTCCATCGGAAACTCTACAGGCCTACCACCAAGCAAACCGACATCAACAATAATATCCAAAACATACTTTCTCTGTGATAAGTATATACCCTCTGCATTTCTTGCAACTTCCAATCCAAGAAAATATTTCAATTTTCCCAAATCCTTCATATGAAAGCAATTGCTTAAATACGTTTTAAACTTTTGTATCACCTTAGGAGAGCTTCCTGTCACCACAAGATCATCCACATACACTAGAACGTGCAAGTGAAATTTATCACGAACTAATGAGAAAAGAGAGTAATGAGCCTTACTCTGTGTAAAACCATACCCCAATAGTGTCTTCGAAAGTTTCACAAACCAACATCGTGGAGCTTATTTCAAACTATACAGCGACTTGCGCAAACGACATACCATACCCTTCTTAGAAGCACCAAAACCCTGAGGTACCCTCATAAACACCTCTTCATCCAAATCCCCATGAATAAACACATTGTGCACATCCATCTGATGTAGCTCCCAATTTTTCCCAGCGGCAACTTGAAGAACCAATCGAACTGTGCTCATCTTTGCTACATTGCTAGTTTCTAACTCAAAGTTGACTAATGTATATGTATATATATGTGCCTTTAGGCTGATGAATGAATTACTTCCGAAAATTACTTTGACATGGTATCAGAGCCTCATTTGTTGAACCAAAAAAGGTGACAAAAGAAGGGTTTATTACCGGTCCTAAAGTGGGATTCGGTTCGAGATGGGCTGATAAGAGCCATTCTTTCGAGGGGGCGTATTAGAATCTCACATCGGAAGTTTAAAGGGACTAACACTAGTATATAAAGAACTTGGGTCAATCTACTTATTGCGAATTGGTTTTGAGTTGGAAGCCCAAGAAACTTAACATATGGTATAAATTTTCATGTGGTCGAGGTTTACTTATAAGGATATCCTAACATATGAGAGCAGATTTGCAAGGATAAAGATGTCAAGCCTCGGACGTGGAAATATTATTATGTACCCTCGATTAAAGGGTATAGTGAGAATCTTTGGTTTTTGTTTTTTGTTTTAGGCTCATGATCCATTTAAATACTTGATAACGTCTCATAACAAAACTATTTTTATTTAGGGAGGATTGCTATTGTAACTTTCAAAATAGCTGAAATTAGTAAAACAACCTAACATTCTTGAAATTAGTAGAATAACCTTCCATTTTTAAAAACCCGATTTTACCCTCGGGAAGCTTTGGTGAGAAAAAAACGTATTTACAAAAATGTCATTATGATATTATTCCACGTCAGCCGTTAAAATCCTGCAGCTAGAATTAAGTCTACTAACCTTAATGGTAGATATTAAATTTTTGGTAGATTTAAAAATATGTCGGTAGACATAATAATTTTTGGTAGACATAATATTCCAAAAGTAGATTTGTTTAGATGTTGATAGTCTTATAATGATAGATTTATTTTCAGCGAAAGGTATATTTAAAATTGTTGGTAGATATTTGAATGTATTGATAGACTTGTTGGTTCTCAAAGTAGATTTATTTTCAAGTTGGTAGATATAATGTTGTTGAGTTGATTTTGTGAGATGTCGTTGACCAAAATCCGTAGACTTACTAACTTTCATAGTAGACTTGTTAGACACGAAATATAAATCTACTATAATATAAAAATTTTCTTCGTGATAGTTTTCTTGTACGCATGGTAGATTTAAATGTCGATAGTAGATTTGTTTTGTATTAGCAGACTTGTTTTTTGTGTGGTAGACTTGTTTTTTGTATGGTAGACTTAAAAGTTACCTTCGCGAGTATAGATATGTGATAGACATATGAGACTATCTAATAGATATATTTGGGGTGATAGACTTTTTTTTATAAATAGATTTATTTGATAATATAATAGATTTATATATCATTTGGGAGCTTCGATGTTGGTAGACATAATGAAATGTTGATAGACGTATTGCAAAATTGGTAGACATATTTACTGACTTAACGGTAGACTTAAAAATTTGAAATGACATTTTTATCCAGCAGTTTTTCCGGTTCCAACCACCACATCCAACTACTTCTAGGGTAGCTGCCACCATTTATTTCATCACTGATTTCCTCTCTTACCTGTTTTGTTGATTTTTTTATTTCTATCATCCTCTATCATGTCTTCTTCTTGCATGGTGGATATATTTTTAGTTTGTGGGAAATGAGAATTTGCGAAAACTCGGTATGTTTTCTTGGTTAATAAGAGCAAAGGATTTCAAGTTGTAGCTGTTGATTGGGTAATCGGGTTTGGGGATTTTTTACAAATTGTTTATGAAGAATTTCGATTGGATCAGCACCGATCTGACCTGCAACTCAGCTATATGCTGTCGAGGAGATACATGCAAAAGGTACCCAAAGATACATAACCGGTTTTTGTAGCAAATACTCGACAACTTGTTGGGTTTGTGCGTTACTTTGAAAATGAGACGATTTGTCTATGCGTCGAGATTTCTGAAAAGGCGTCGACCAAATCTAAGATAGCAGATGGTGTTGAGCTGAATGGCAAAAGATGTAAATCTTTCGAGGATGAAGACAATGAAGACGATGAAGTCGAACAAGATGATGAAGATGAGGAAGATGATGAAGAAGAAAGGTACGACAATTGCCATGATCCGGATGGTGCGAGTTCTGGTGATGAAGACTACAGTTTGTGTGGGAAGAAATCAGAAGATGAAGAAGACATGCAAAACCTGCAACCAAAGAAACAAGGTTTGTCAAGAATGGATGATTCTGTGGAGCTGGAAATGAAGTCCGTAGAGTTAGCTGTTGGTCAATGTTATAACACCAAAGAGGAGTTCGAGACCAGATTGAAGATCTACGCTGTTGCAAATAAAATGGACTTCGACGTGGGATACTCAATGCTCACATTATTGACGGTTAGGTGTTGGTTCGGTGGATGTAAATGGAGGGTTCGAGCTTTGACGGTTAGAGATGAAAGACAGTTCTATGTCAAAACATACTACGGTGTGCATACATGTTCTATCACGATGCGTTATTCACGTGCCCGACAAGCAACTCCTGAGATATTAGGACGACTTTATAAGGATTTTGTAGGTGGAGTAGGTAATACAGTTATCCCAAATCACGTTTCTGATGCACTAACCAAACGGTAGGGAATCAAGGTAAATGTTACATTTTGGTAGATTTATAAGCTTAATATGATAGATTTGTTAGGTAGTTTGGTAGATTTGTTCTTATTTGTTTGGTAAATATGTTTTCAATATGGTAGATTTGTTTCCATTAGTTTGGTAGATTTGTTTTTCCAACAGTTAGGTAGATTTGTCTCCAATGGTTTGGTAGATTTGTTTCAAGTATTTTGGTAGATAAACTAATCGTGTATGATGTATAGGTGGAGTATTGGAAAACTTATCGTGTATTGAAGTATGCACGAGAACTAGTGACTGGGAGTTCAGAGGACAGTTACGAGGAGCTTCCGTCATACTTATACATGATAAGACGAGCTAATCCAAGAACACTGATCAAGCTCGAAGTGGATTCAGAAGACAAGTTCAAGTTTATGTTCTTTGCCTTTAGTGCGAG